GAAATAAAGACGCTGCTTTCATTTTGGAAAACAGAAATAGGAAGTTCCTGCCCAGACAGGAGATCATCCATCAGTGCAATTACAGTGTAATTAAAGCCTCTCAGCAATGACAGCTACGAGGGGAAATTGTCCAGTAGATTATTCCATCCTTACAACCCCACCAGCCTCAGCTCTTCAGGGGGGTAATTACGCAGCTCCCATTATTGCACCATGAGGCTGTCAAGCCTGCGAGCTGCGTTTTGTAAATGGAAGAACTGAAATACAGAGACACAAAGGCCCCAGTTCCGAAAGCTGGTTAGATGCTTAATTGTGACTGATTTTTTTTTTTTAATCAAGTTAAACAATTTTTAGATTTTAAGTGTTAAAAAGAAAACAAACCACTATGAAGTCATTACACCCTAAGCAAACTCCTCCTTGAGAGATTTATTTTGCGTAGCTTGTAAGCTCGGTACATGAGAGAAGGGATAGGATATGGGTCTGACAAGTCTGTGCTGGCTATGTCCAGTAAGTCACCGTGATGACATTATAACTCACTGGAGATGAAGCCTGTCAACCTGGATAGGAGAGGAGAGGTACGGAAGAAAGACGAGTCAGACAAAAGGAGTTATAGAGAAGGAGGGGGGGCAGGAAGGAAAAGAAAAGAAAATAACAAAAGAGATGCTCACCCAGAGAGAGTTCCTAGAGGAGCTCATCATTTACAGCCGTGTCAGCCAAAGGGCTTCCCACGTCAGGATGAAAAGCCACCCAAAGTAATCCACCACAGAAAAACCAAATCCTCAAGAGAAGAGCATGGGCAGTAAAACATGTGCTTGAGAAATGTAACACAGCAACTCTGTAAAGCTAGGTTTTGGTTTGGTTGGTTTTTTTGAAACAAAGCATTTCCACCCACCTACCAGAGGCTGCTGCCCAAAAGCCTCTCAGCGTCAATCTGGAGGATTACACTGTCGTTGAGATACCTGTACTGACGAGCACCACTTCAACTCAGCCTCCTCTAAAAACACATTTCCTGAGTCTTCATACTTGGCAGGACATCCGTACACAACGCAGGCTGAGGTTAAAACCCTATCTCTGAACAGCTCCCGCAGTGTTAACAACAGTCGTATGCTGCTCACCCGACCCGAAGCACCCGACGCCCTCCCAACCACACCACTCATCCCTTCCTCTCAGGGACCGCAGAGCTCTGCTTCATCCAAATTCCAGATTTAAACCAGAATACAAACAAAACAGAACCTTAAAGGTGGTTATTTTAAATACAGGAAAAGTTAAATAGCCAACTAATGCTGTACATACTGTATTCACTGACTCTGAGCTTTATTTCTGATATTATTCTTCCTGCCCAGCAAATTATCATTCTTGGACCCTGTTCCTCCAAATGACAGGTTTAAAGATACCGCTGATACTGCCAAAAAACCTGCAGCTTTTCGGGAAGGCCAAATGAGTGGCTCTTGGACTCCATTCCGTTCGAGGACTGTAGACACAGAGCACATCAATATGATTTTAAGCAGTTTACAGAGAAACATGAAACAAGCCGGGGTGGAACGGGAGGCCAGGATAAGAAAAGCAACACCGACAGCACTGACATACTGGGCACACCCTGGTAATGTGAATAACTCATCAGCTCAAACAGCAACAAAATTCAAGCCTATTTTCATCCTGGTTTTCGAGAAACAGCTGAGAAACCCAGGCACTGATATTACCTCTCCCTGGGGAACCTTATTCCTCTGACATTCGCAGACCACAGCAGCTAACACCACTTGTGCCAGGCTGTTGTCATCAGCTGGTACCACAGGCGTCCCAAAACCAGACCTGCAGGGTCCAAACCCCAGTCAGACACACACAGACGTTGTCTTTGTTGATCGCCAGAAGTGCAACTCTGCTCCCAAGGTAAGCACGAGGAAAAATGAGTACCACGACCCATGGGAAGAACTACAGCGCCCGTCATTGCCATGAGCGGTGTCCCCAAAAGTGACAGTGGCTTTACCAGCCCAGGAACAGCAGCTGTCCCCCCGCCCTCCAGCCCCCAGCTGAGACACGTACCCAAACCGGCAATGACTCGGAGGGAGAGCATCCCGTCTATTTGTGCATAACCAGCATCCAGCAAAGCAGGGCTTGAATGCCCAGTTATCAGCTTGCTAACGACACGCACACACAATTAACTGTCCCAAAAAGTCACCTCAGAGAGAACCTCTGGGCACAACGGCCAAACCGGAGCATTCGCTCTCTGCACTCTGCTTTACTGTTTGAAGTACGCAACGATTGTGTTCAGGACCCTTATCTATGTGACATTTCCTTTCTAGGACACACCAAAATTTAGACCCTTTAAAGTAACACAAGCTTGACTTCAGAATGGGTGTCACCAAATTCTGGGGGTTTTTAAGATGTACAACAGCCACACTCTCCACTAAAAATAGCTAAAGCTCAACTACGTAACTTAGGTTGCAAACTTACGTCCCTACAAACACTGTTCTGCAAGGAGCGTTAGCCATCAGCATCAACTTTGAAGCAGCAGATTCCAAAGTGCAGATTTCAGCCCCTTGGTTCCAGCCCTCCGTCACGCTAAAGGCTGGCCACAAAACACCGCACAGCCAGGCAGCCCTCGGATCCTTCTGCCTGGCGAGAGCCCTCGTTCAGTCCTGACAAACACGTCTGTTTAATGAGAGCCTTCCCTTTCGCAGGGATCCATAACTCCCTGAGAAATACGAGGCTCTAAGACAATCCTCTCCATCGCTAGCCAACAGAAAATCAGGAAAAATCCAACATCTTCAATACAAGGTTCTCAATGAAAACTTAGGGAAGGTAAAGAACTGGAAAGGTGTGTGTGTACAGCGGCACACACAGGAGCCTCCTAGTGAATTCATGAGCTTGACTTTGACTTGGGAACAGCTCCTGGTTATGGCCCGTCCTTAGGAAAGGTTGACATTTTTGATAGAGATAGTGATGATAAATGGAACGAAACTAACTCATTTCACACGAGCCAGCCAGCCTTCGATGATGAATTTTGGCACCTACTGACCAAAGATGGATAATGTGCGATTTGAACTCTTCATCTCCCGCGGTGAGTTGCAGGAATTGTTCAAACCACCATAGTGCACAGCATTCTCTTGACTATTCTATTTTTACAAATACCAGGTGGCCTAGAATAATTTTTCCAATAAACAAACAAATGATGATTTTCGGCGAGCGCTTGCCGAACCTCCGCACCGAAGCTCCCTGCTCTCCTCCCTTGATCACAGCCCTCCACCACAACACCCCCAGCAGCTTCTGTCTGTGTTGCTTGAAACACCTCACTGCGGTGCGTCACGTTCCCTACCCGCTTACGCTGGCAAGAGACAACACAACTGCTCTGTACGACAGAGATCTGCATTCACAACAGGCGGCATCAATCAGGATCTTTCTCCTTCCGCTCATTTTTCTTCAACTACTTTTTCCTTCCATTCCTTCAACAACACACAGAGAAACCTCTCTGGGTTCTTGACATCTCTCTACCAAATTTAGGTTAGGACTATCCAGCAAACCATTCGGAGGACTGACAGATCAGGTCAATCTTGACTCTTTGGAAAGTCAGACTAAAGTCTGCCCCCGTCGCCAGTCCCAACAGCTCATGATTTGCCATCCAGGAAAGCTCCAGACTGCACAGGCAGTGGGGCAGAACTTCTCTCAACTTTTACTAATGGTCCTTGCCCAAAGCAAGACCTGGCCTTCAGGTCTGGGCTAACAAGGATGTCCTCTCAGCAGCCCTCAGTCACACACGTGCTGGGGAGAGCTACAGGGCTTCACTCCTCGCTTGGGAAGCTCAGCCAGCACGAGTCAGCCTTGGTCGGGCTTGCACAGCCTCCTGTGGATTCACTGCGGAACATTAACTCCACTCCAGAGCTACAACTCAAAAATATAAACAAGAGTGTTTTCCTCTCCTAGTTTTGGAAAACGTGAAGCAATATACTATTTCTTGTAATATTCCCAGTGTGGACAGTTCTCTCTTGCTGTGCACAGCCAGCGCTGTCTGACCGTGCTCTCAGCACCTGGGAAGGCTTCGTGACTCATGTGGCTGCCACTGCAAGCAAAAACTGAAATACTGCTCTGCCCTTCACAGGGTCTACTTACGAGAACAAGGATCATCTTCCTACAATGCTTTTCCTAGCCTTACCCCACCTGTGTGCATGTTCTCCTCCAGATCTTGGGCCACTAACATTTATTTTCCTACAACAACTCTTGAGCAGCTAGTCAGAACACATTGCCCTTTATTGCTTCATTATTCTAAATGTTAACACACCCCCCTGCTCTGGGCTCACTGTTCATCTCTTGTGGACAGTGTTTGCCTTCTACACCACCACCAAAACGCCAGGAGTCCAGCAGCTCAACGGGCATCAGTAACACCCAAATATTTCTTAGCGATCTGTGCTCGCAGGAGGGATCACACAGCTCGCCTCGTCCTGCCGCTCAGCTGCACCGCGTTCAAACAGCCCCCTCCCCGTTCATTCCCTTCCCTACCTTTCTTCACACAAAGTGGTGCTTGCCAAAGCAATACCTTCTGCTATAAAACTTGACTATTTAGTAAAATAAAAGGTTTCACTCCTCACGCTCTGACACAGCAACAAGAAGGACAGGAGAACATCACAGAGGTCTGCCTGCATTTTAATGGAAGTCACTTGGCACTGAAAACCATAAAGAGAGAATCTCTGTGCCGTGAAACTACACCCCCTGGGCCCTCCGCCAAGAGAGCTTTGTTAAAGACGATTATTTATTTGATATAATAATTATGACCTAAGAGAGACTGGCTTTCCTACAAGTGAAAGGAGGAAACAAAAATCCACCTTCTTTATGCAGGGATGGCAGCTGAGTCTCCTACGAGACCGTCACAGTTGCCCAGTGTCACAGCCAGAGGTCCTTGGCCATTGAGCAGCTCGGCTTTCCTCGGTGATAGGAAGGTGGCAGTGACTCCACGGAGAAGCTAACCCTATTCATCACGAGTTGGGAGTCAATTTTGGAACAGAAATATTTACCTTCGATGCCAGGTTGTCCACTAGTGCAATCATGGAGTTCTTAAAAAGAGTGGCAGCTGTCAGGGGTCGCTTGGTCACCTCCGTGATGCTCAGTTTACCTTCAGGCCACATCATCTTCAGCACAGGGTTGGAGCTGAAAGACAGGCTCTTTAATCGCACAGTCTAAGAGCACTTCCGCTAAACTCAGAGTTCAACAGCTTGCTTCTGTCCACATGTACTGGTGTTCTCAGCTCAAAATGTATCAGGCAAAACCATAGGACATTGCTGGGCAAGACATCCCTTGGTCTCGAGCAACACAGTTCAAGCTTATAACGGAATATTCTGGAAGAATGACAAGTGTATTCTCCTCTTCAGATAAAGATGTGCAGAAATGGCACAGTAAAAATCCTGCAGAAGCGATCTATCACAAGCAGAGTCTGCCTCACTGACACAAGCATCAAGAATTTAATCAACACAGAAAAGAGTAACACCATGGCCTGTGACATCCCCCCTTGTATCTGATTTCAAGCGGTATTTCTGCCCCATTCTTGATATATAAAATAATTTCTACGTTTCAGCCTACATTTTCTGTAAGGGTTGAAGGTGAGGTAAGATGGCCATGATGGATGGCAAGAGCTCTGCAAGAGACAAAAGCTGGAAGCAGCTCCAGCAACCTAACAGCCGATCTATCACAAGCTTTAATATGCCCCAAGTGGCCTTTGCGAACAGTCTTTAGCAGAGACTAAACGGCAAACAGAGGCTAAATTTAATAAAACCTCCGTACAGCAAATATTTTGCAGGTTTCTGGTTAATGTGAAGTCTGGAAAACATGAACAGCGTGACTGCTCGAGGGAGGGCACTGAGTAAACATAACAGGATGGTAAACCAAGTTAATAGCTGTGGTAACTTTTAAACCAGGTAAACAGAGGTGTCCAGCCGCTGCAGGCTGTTCCACGCTGACTTGCACCTCTGAGCAAAGTCTCGGAAAGGTTGAGATAGGCCACGGTTACAGAAGAACTAGAACAGGTTTAGTGCCAGCCATTCAGGAACACAGCTTTTGGGGCACCCATACGTGTACACACACATTGTGATAGGATTGCAAATTTGCTTGTCAAAGGCAACTGTTACTTGCTTAATTAGTATTTATGACATGTGACTATATGGTTTAAATTTTCATGTCACTGCACATGTGAAAAGGATTCAAATCTATTTGCCCTTTTTTCCCTCTCACCCCTAAACTTTCTTTCAAAGCTGGAACTTCTGGCTGGGGCCAATGATATCCGCGGTTGACCAAACGCTACTTGGTATTTTAAAGAGAGATCAATAATGGTACATTTGCAACTGGTCCAAAAACCTCGTTAATGCCAAATCAAGCCACACAGGTAATCTCTGCTGCACAGCTATTGACTGGAAAATGAGTTGATTTCAAACAATCACTTTAAATTTTGTTAAATTAAAGGTTATATCAGAGCAAAACCAACACATAGGGAAGAAGGACTTTAACCTGAAAAATCAGACTGACAGCCTTTGGGTCAGAGTAGGTACACAAAGATCAAATGCCAAAGGAATGTGTTTATTCACATGCACTGCACACACGGTAAAGACAGCATCGGTGAGAACATTAGTCTCTTCTAGCGCCCACTCTCTAAAAAAGAAAAAAAAATTATTCCTACCTGTTGTACATGAGGCGCTTGAAGTCTTGAAATAAAGTGTCCTTGTTTTTGTCAATAAATCCAGTGACTGAGTAACTGAAAAAAAAAGGAAAACAGAGTTAATTACAAAGAAGCAAAGCCCTTCACTGAACTGCGGGTGTCGGTGTGGAATCAGCATCCTTGCACTCCTACAGACACGGCAGATGCTAAGCAGGAATCCAGCTTTGTTTCCCACCTATCACTAATTTGCTGGATGAGCACTGTGTGAGAACCCTCTGCCCAGCTTTCCACCCCCTCCAGGGCAGGAACAGCACACATCTCGTTTTAGAAACCTATTGGAATCAGACGGTGAAAAGGGCAATGGTTTAGCAGGACTTCAGCCAGTGGTAGATGGCTCAAATTCCAGAGTTACACTCATGACTTCTGCCTCCAAATTCAGAGCATGTGTTTGTGTTAAATCCTACAGAAATTATGTTGTTTTCAGTATGTCTAGTTTGTCCCTCTCTTGCTGTCAAGGAAGGTTTCTCTGGTGGGAGAGTGCCTGAAATCAAAACCAGCTGATAACCAGCGACTAGGGAATGCTCTTGGAAACCAACACACACACACACACACACACACACAAATTCTGGACTCTGTCTTTCCTCTATTCATGTCTTCTCGAAGACTTGAGACAGACAGTGCCCTGTCCTCAAAGAAAAGGTCCAAAATCTCCCTGTTCAGTGTTTCCCACTCAGTTGCTCCCTGAGCTCCTGATTCCCCAGGAAGCCTGCGCCCGAACTGCAGGCACCGGGCTCCAGAGCCCAACAACATCCAAATCCCCACATGGAGCCACCCCCAGCTCTGACTGCTCCACAGAACACAGTCCAGGCTCAAATACGATCTGCAAATATTTCCACATTCCAGTTTTCTTTTACAAAATTTTTCAGCTGCTGGCGGTGCAGAAGGTTCAACGCCTACAATGGCACCTCGTACCCCCTCCTCCTCGGCAAAATGCTTTGAAAGCAGAGATGCCCAGCAGCGATCGCTCAGCAAAGCCTCCAGAACAAAACCCAGCTGGGCTGACTGGGCTCCAGTGTGATCACACTGGTTTACCTTTATAAATTAAAGGTAAACTTCATCCCAGGGTAAAAGAAATCCTAAACTATTTTCCCATTAACTCCCTTCAGATTCCACTGGCGTGGGGAGCTACACAAATCCTAAACCATTAAATCACTCCAGTGAAACTCCAGACAACAGCTTTCCCCGTGAACAGTTCCAACATATGGGCATCCTTCACTTCTGCTTCATCTTCCTGCGCACTACTGTCACATACCGTAGCATTTGTGTAGGCTGCAGGTACAGAAAACTTTTCAACCTGAGCAGGGAAGGCTCCTTCCTTGAACACTGCCCTGTATTTTGAGTCTGCTCAAACCGACTAGAGAATTTAAAGCTAGAGTTATATAACCACACCAAACAGATGTCTAAACCAGATTTTATTAGTTCAGTATAGCTTTCATGCCTAAACAGTGCTGGCTTATTTTTTTCCTCCTTTTTTTTTTTTTTTCCCTGAAGCGTTGCTCTCTCCTCCCTCCCCACTCTCCTTTTGTTTCAGTTCCAAGTACAAAATCAGTTCTGTAGAGCACGTAAGCAGCATTGGATGTCATTGAGAAGCAATTGCTGCACTCTGGAATTCTGAACGACAGCTATTCTGGTTCACTCCAGAGGCAGCAGTAAATCAGAATCTTGTACCACTCCAAAGCTGGCGAAAAGACAGAAATAGAAGGTGCAACTTTATTTCTGAAAGCAACTTACATCACATCTCCGGCATAGTGCTTGATTCGAAAGTCTCTGTCAAATTCCAGCGTTTTGTCGGTTGCACAAAGCTAAAATAAATTAATATACATTAAAACGTCACCCATGGATTCTCCCCTTTCATGGAAGAGCAATACGGATTGGAAACGGAAACGGACACTACAGTTATTCCACTTTATATATGCACATGTAGATGTGAAATCCAGATATAATGCTGCTTTACAATATTTTTTCATGGATGCATGACAAGAACATACATTTGTACAAAATAAAAGTTGCAACAGCCTACAGTTTTATTAAAAAAAAAATCAATACTATCCCCAAAACACCATTAAGCAAAAGGAACATCTATGCATGTAGAGAAACATTGCACCTAAAAAAAAAAAAAAAGTCACGAATTGACTCAAGTCCTCATTGTTTTTTTTTTCCCCAATGCAATATCCCTCCTCAGCAAAGAAATGAAACAATCAAAATGTGACAGTTACACCAGCAGCGCTTGTTCTGGCCCAAATCGCTCCCAGCTCCCCCAAGCAGTGACCCCCCCCGCAGACACCCACCTCCCACCCTCAGCTCCCAGCTCACACCTCCCGGTACCTCCCTTCCCTGCCAGGAGGATGTGGAGTGCCCACGTGCAGCCATTCACTGCCCGCGGCCATAGCACGCTCATCCCTTCAGGAATAACAGAAGCCAAAAAATCCATCAGGCTCAGCGTAATTAAAAAAGGAGAACAAGCTAAAAATGAGGCTTTTTGTTAAAGCCAAAAGGGGCAGGTAGATAAATTAAGTCTTTGCAGGAAGCATGGGCTCCATTTAAAAACACCGAGGGCTATGAGCAAACATCTACTATCCACCAAAAGTCTTGGGAAAATAAAGAGGAAATTAGCGTGGTTAAACTGCAGGGCAGGAGAGACTAGGAGAAGCAGGAAGATAGCATCCCAAAAACTCTACCTGTGTGCAAGAGCAGAAAACGGATCAGCTCAAACTGACAGAACAGATGTAAAAAAAAAAAAAAAAAAGTATCTATATATATCTAAAAAAATCACAAGGAGGAAACCTGTAAGTTTGAGTAACAAGGCACGCAGAAGGTTACGAAGGTGTAAGAAGTCAGCGCAGCAGGAGCAGGAAGCATGCCAGGGGCTGCAGAGCTGATAAATGTGTACCAGGAACACAGAGAAAATGAAGAAGCGAGGCCATACCAGGAAAACAAAATTATTTTTCTTTTTGCAGCTGTGTTCACCAGCAAGGGGCTATGGAGGATGTAATGGCTTTTTGCAACCACCCAAAACATCCATCTCAACCCAGCATGTCAACAGAAGAGGTATAAGACAAGAAAAACATGATGAAGGGAAGCAACTGGTGCTACCAGACGGGACACGGTTGGCTGCATGAGCTTCTTGCTTAGAACTCACCCAATACTGCAGAGACTGGAAGGTGGCTTAACGGGATGCTGGGGGGTTTTTACGAAGCAATTCACGCTGGGAACTTTGTGTCTACTGGGCACAGCAGTTTCAATTATTAAAAAAAAAAAAAAAGGAACAAGTGTTTTGATACAGGTGATAGCCTGCTTGGATTTCTGTGAGCCTTTTCATGAGGCTCCTCACCAACAACTCAAAGAACTGCTGGAAAGATGGGAAACAGGATTCCTGCAGGAACTTGCGCTGAGGTCTACACTGTTATCATCATCTGAAATGAGCTATGATCTGAGGGTGATAGAAGGTGATCAGGATTCTTGATGGTACTTAATTACTCGGGGCAGTAAAGGACACGGCTGGCTGTGAAGAACTGCAGGAAGACACGAGAGGCTAAAGGAGTGGCAAAAAAGAGCAAATGAAATTCGACATAAATATAGTGATACACACAGGGAAAGCCAAAGTTCAGACGATGGGCCCCAAACTGTCCATTCCCAACCCAACACGTACCTTAACCAGCCTCCATCTCCCAAAGGGCCCAGGAGAACTGGGAGAGGCTCAATGAAGGACAAAAAGGATCGATAGTACTGACTGACTGCTACGGGGGAAGGGCCGGATGAACTCAGCCTCTTCATGGCAAGAAAGAAATGCCAGGAGATGACGGCAGAAGACACAGAGATGGTGTACTGGAAGGCACAGTGAACCGTGTCTTGCTGTTCAAGAACTAGGAGGCAACAGATGTAAGCTAAAAGGGAAAAGGGAGAAGGGAGGAAAATGGGAAGGAAGGAGGGAGGAAAGTGGGAAGGAGCTCTTCACATAAGTAACCCGTGGAATTCTCTGTCAATTTAAAAAAAAAAGCAACAAAAAGCCAAAACCAAAACCACCACCCTATTAAGGACACCAGCCCTGATTCAGGAGGTTCCTGGACTGCAGGTCACTGGGGACAGGGAGCATCTCAAGTCATCCTGATGATTATCCTATATTCCTCTCTCACTTAGACCTTCACTATTGCCCAGAGTCTTGGAAGATGCTCCATCAGGTGGACTGGAATGGACTTTCACATACTCTTCCCTTCACAGCCAGTTTGTTGAGATTGACACTTCCCACAACTGAAGATTTAGGAATTCATGGACTGTCTACCACTGCACTTGATCCTTAGAAAGTATAAGATCAATTGAAAAAATCAGAGCTCAAAGAGGCTGAGAAAATGCACCTGTGACGTTGAGTACCACCAGAACAGCTGGTGTTTGTGCAGATCTGGCTTAGCATCAGGCAATTCAGAGAACAACCCATGCTCTGGGAACGTAAAATTTTGCCACAAATACCCACAGTGGAAGTGTTTGCCAGTATTTTTCCTGACTTGTTTGGCTTTCACCGGGACAACCGAGCAGGCAGCAGCAGAGCAGGCAGGCATACACAAACTAGGACGCTACTATTTAGGGCACAGCAGCCCCTTAGAGCTCATCCACAGAGCCAGGGTGCAACATGCTCTACGGGGGAGCAGGAGGCATTAATGACTGAGGGATGGGAGCTGTTCCCTATCTGACACACAGTTTAACTCTTCAGGAACAGTTTCCATCCAACCTTAATGATTCTGTGATTCCATCTCTACTGAACTTTACAGCATCGGACAGAACCACTGCAGTCTGCAAAAGCAAATGATGCAATGAAATCAAGTCCTTTGTGTTCATTCAAGCTATAAGAAGCTGGCTTAGGAAGCTGAGGTTTCCTACAGCAGTTCTAGATGGGACTGAGAAAGAGATCTCAGATACTGGTGAAGGACATCTACAAAGATGCGAGAGGGGGGAAAAAATAATTATGATGCTGAGAGTTTTATGGGTGAATTTTTTCAAGGCTATATTGATTTAAACTAGAAATTAGCAAGCCAGGGAGATACATCATAGCCTCCATAAACATTATTTATAGCAGCATGCCTTGTTTGTCTGTGCAAACAGTTTTCTGACAATGTCACCCCCTGCTGAGGAATGCTGCAACCGGCAAGATTTTCTTTTAATGTTTCCTGTGCTGTGAAGGGACTCCTGAAGGTAAGGACTCAAACAGATTTTTTTTTTTAATTTTCATTTTAGAGCCTCCCATACACTCTATGAAATGCAGTCCTCTTCCCCACGGTATCGCAGTCCTGCCTGCTCTCTCGGGGAAGGAACCACCCCACTCCAGCAGACACAGGACCAAGGGCAGCACAGACACCGTCTGCACCAGCTTACATCTCTGGACCAGACAGCTCCAGAACCTGGACCGCTTCCCGCCCTGCCCCACTGCAGGGGATTTAAGACTCCATCCCCCCAGGCTTCACTATTCACAATCTCTAGCGCTGCTAAAGGAAGATATTTGCATTAAAATGCAGACACCCAGACTGGGCTTCACCAAATACTTGTTTTCAGGTGAGTTCACTCAGAACGTGCTCTGCATCTGCTGCTTAAGCATGTCAAAATCTAGGTTATCCCAGAAAATCCAGGTTATCCCAGAAAGCAAGATTCCCGCTCGCCCTCCCTCAGCCGGGATGCGTGGGGCAGATGTCAGGGGTGCTGCCGCTAAAGGGCACTTGAGAAAAGCCACATCTGGGAGGAAATAAGCGGTTCTTTTCTTTCCAGCCTGTACCCAAACAAGCCACATCCAGCTCTATTGTTTACATCCAGCCTCCCCGGAGGCAGCCTTTAGCACATATCTTACACAACCATGCTAATTTTGTATTTCTGACCTACATAAAACATTTCACTGGGGTGGGAGGGAGAAGGGGGGAGCCAGCTCTCTGAATGATGCATTTCAAACAATCTTTCTGAGCAGAGACACATCAATAAATTAAAGGCTCTTATTTGATTACTCAGTGTGAAAGATTCTCAAATTAATCAGGCTGGTGACCATGTTTTCAATACACTGCCAAGTGAGGAACAAATAAAGCCTTTTAATTCCTACGTTGTACCAAAAACAAAGCAAGTCGCGGGGCCTGGATGATCATAGGTACAGTATGAGACGAGCATCTTTTGTAGCCAATGACGATGGAAAAAAAAAAAAAATCACAGTGCTGTAATAATGCAGAAGTGTGAATAATTTCAGTGTCACTATGTATTAGAGCAGCCTGGGAAGAACATCACGTGGGTTGAAACCGCGTATCGATTGGTTACAAATGACATCATGATATGTCAAGGCACGAGCTCATGCTTCTTTTATGCACGGAATAAAATTGATCTCACATTGGACATCCTTGAGCTCCCTCTGCCGGATACGGGGCTGCCCGAGGCGCGACCTAAACCCAGCCCAGGCAGACTGTTCCGCAGGCAGGAGCTGCTGCTGCTGCTCTCAGGCATTTCATTTCACACTCAACGGTAACGATTCCAACCCCTGCCACCCTTCAAGTTTTTTTCCTTATTTCATTATGCTTAAAAAAATAGAAAAGGTATCACACAGGAAAGGAAGCAAGCTCTGAGGGTGCAGGGGAGCACGTTACCTTTCTGCTGGAGAAATGTGCATGCTTCCCTAGCTTGTTATTAAGAGCCTCGAGGAACATCTCATCTGTAACTTTTCCAACGTTCATGCAGGCATCGTCCAGAATGGCGATGATCCCCTTGTGCTGCTGCTCTACCAGGTCAACAATGACCTGATTGTTAAAGTAATCGATCTGTAAAAGACAAAAACCGGGTGTGGTTGTGACTCTGGCTAGCGAAAGAGAGGAGTACCAGTGCTGGCCATGGATGAACAGGACTGTGGGGCCCACCACGCACAGGAGAAGCAATCAGCTCTCGACACGTTGAGAACTAACTCACAATTAAGCAGGCTGCTCTTCCACCACTGAACAGCAGAGAAGGCAATCTTTCAAACACCCCACATAAATCTTGAGAACTCTGCTAAAAACCAACTGCTACAGAACACACTTTGAAATGTCTTTTAAAATGCAGCTGCGCACAGTCGTTGCAGTGAAAAGTGCGCATCTTGACCTCGGCACTCGGAAAGGAATTTGAACAGGAGAACTCAAGATTTTTATACTTGAAAATCTACAACTAGACAAAATACCGGAGTTCTTAGAACAGAAACACTCAGTGAGATGCCACAATATGCTTTCACTCAGACCTGGAGTCACTTCTTTTCCCAAACCATGGCAAATACAGAAATGTTGTGAGATAAATCGTTAGCTTCTTCCACGGCCTGATTTCCAGACAGCGAGTCTGCCAGTACAGCTGGCGGGGACACAGATGTTCTATCGACTTCGTCGGGAGCGTACATGTGGAGCAACTTTAGATCTGGGGCTTCTGCTGGTACACTGACCTCAAAGCGACCTCATCCTCCCCTGCCAAATCACTCACATGCTTCCAGGGAATTCCCTCTCGCTGGTACTCTTCCTGCTCCTGCTTTAGAACCAGCTGAATAAAGAGCTGCTGCAGCTTCTCATTACAGTAATTAATGCAAAATTGCTCAAAACTGCAAAAACATAAGAAAAAAAGGTGATGAGCTGTGTTTGGTTTTTTTTGTTTTTTGTTTTTTTTTGAAAGGAGAAGGTGCAGCACTGTGCTTGAACAACGTAGCTCACCTGTTATTGTCAAATATTTCAAAGCCATAGATATCCAGGACGCCGATGACGGTGTTTTTCCCATGTATTGAAGTGTCGTAGTTCTTCACTTCAATCACATCATTGATGTGCGTCACAATCCAACAGAAGAGGCGCTCGTATATAGCCTGCCAGGAAACAAACACTGAGGAATTTTGCCTGCATCTGTCTCAGTTCTTTCTGGTAAATGCAACACATGGTGCTACAAAGCTTAATTTAACACGCTGCCCTAACAACACAAAAGCTACAGATAACATTCTGCTAAAAGTGAACAGCTACTGACAAGAAGAAAATATTCTATGAAATTTTTTTTTTCTTTCTTCCAAAACTCATTTACACAAAGTCTAAATCCCAGTGAGGTCACTCTGTGTAGCGGTTCCCCCCATCTGACTCCAGGCTGCTTTTCAGCTGGCTAGTAACTTCCATACCTGAGATTTATTTAACAACAGTGAACAGCAAATGAGAGCTCAGTTACAGAAACCTAACAACACAACACAACGGCAGGAAAACATTCCTATTCATCTTCCAAAGAGAAATTGTTCTTTAGGCATAGGTATCTTCGAAGTCTACATGTTCAAAATGTACTGTGAAGCTGTGCAAACATATAATCTTAGGAAAAAAGTCAAGTTAAAAATCAAGGATCTTCATAACTTCATCTATCTTTCCCTTGTCATTTGATTTCTTAGCAAATGAAGGACATTTGTCACTCCTTTGGTCATCAGTAACCACACCTTTCCAAAAAAAAGAGAGCACTTTGGGTTTCCAGCCCAGGTTCCAGGTGTTATTATTCCACTCTCTACCCTTTGAATTTAACAGCTAATGAAACAAAAAGCTGTATTTCCCAAAGCCTCCAGCCCTGTACGACGTATTCCTTTCACACCTGCCAGCAACCCAGGCCTGCAGCTCCCTCTCCTCTTCCAGCACCGCAAGCGCTGCTGGTTGTGGGGCGTGCTGTGTCACAGCCGGGGACGGTGCTGCTCTGCAGCCCCCGACGGAACAGAGGAGCACACACGTTCAGAAACAAATCCGCACAGAGTACAGACTGCCCGTGTCTCAGCAAGCGCTGTGCTTATTGATCCACCCAGGAATCCTGCTGGGTCCTGAGCACTGGAAAATGTGCAATTATGAAGGCAATTCAATATTGAACGCCTTCCCCAGGCATTGTTATTCTTTGCCGCACCGAGTACAACTCAATCAAAAGGCAAAAGCAAAAGAAATGCACCCGAGTTACTGTCGCATACAGAATTGGATGCAGAGAAAGGAAATTTGAACTCACTTTTGCAAAGGCATCTCTGCCGTAGGTGGCTTCTTGTTCAGTGTGCTGTTTGTCGATGACATCCCGACCCGTAGCCACAGTTCGAAACAACAGAGCCTTCTCCACCATGTCAGATTTTGTTGACAGCAAGTCTGCGATGATGGACACCAGCTTGCCATTTTCTATTACAGGCGTATCACCATCCACAGAAAATTTCAAGTTCCCCTGCAATAAGTAGCAAGAAACAAGATTTCTTACTGTCTTTATTAATATGAACAGTACACCCCGAGTTCATCCATACGCCACCCGCTATTCAAGCCAGTGAACCTCCTAACACATTAGAAGGGCGAGCCTCGCATATCCGCGTACCCACAAAGCTCCAACATCAGCAGAAGCAGCAAAGCCTGACTCAAAGATTTTTTTTCAGCTCAGCTTTTGGAAAAAAAAATGACACCAAACACCTTGAGAGGTTTAATCAAGCATTGTCTCGAGATTCAGAGTCTAGCAGTGGGTAAGGACACGAAGCACACAATGCTGGCTGTAGCATTTCATCTTCACTGCAGCTCGCCACGGAAATGCCAGGCTGCAGTTCTTATTGTCACGCTATTGCCCTCCAAGGTAATGTGAATGTTCTGGGGAAGCTGACAAGCCAGCACTGCGAACAGAACTGCACTGACAGCGCACTGCCACAACAGCTCTGGTACCGAGTTCCTGCAGCGCCAGGATTAAGCAGCAACACCACTGCGTTATCCGCAGGAGTGATCTCACACCCCGTCTGCATGGCCTGGCTCTGCCTCCATCCCTTTCCCCAGCACTGGGGCACAACTACTCCAAGGAGCAGAAAAAATGAGAAAAAAAGCTATCCTTGTCTTTGGCACCTTCCTCCTGCCCGCCTGCAGTGCCTTGCTGCTCAAGGAAACACAAGATCTGAGGTACAAGGACACTGCACAGGGAGGAGAATCTGCAGGTTCCAGGAGAATATGGGTGAAGGAAGGATTTCCTCAGCATCAGAACACAGAGAATTGAGAGGTCTCCTCTGTCGGACTGTGCTCAAGCCAGCGCCATGAAGGGAAGTACCATCCCTCCAGCAAAATCCCAGTGGTGATGGCAAGTGTGAGGGTAAAGCGGAACAGAAGGATGGTGAGAGCGAAAGCTCCCTACCCCCTCACTGTCAACCACAAACAACTCCTTCAATTCCTTTTCAGAACATTTAACAGCTCCCAGTACTTCATGATATGTCTGGTTCGGGATCTGGGATACACAGAAATAAACATGATCTTCCAGCATGACTGCAGCGTCCTATTTCATCAAGGAATGTCACTCACCACGAGAAGATGCAAACTGTATAGACAGCCAACAGATCTTCCAACTGCTTCTGCAGCAAGAAGAGTGGAGCTGCTGGAAGTACAAGTGCAGTGCTTGACCCCTCCTGAAGAGCAGCCTACTGACACCCGCGGGCAGAGAGCTTCTTACCAAGTGAAGGATGGCTGCCACGATTTTGTAGACGGTCTGAATCTCCTCTTGCTTGAAGCCTATCACTTTCATGGCATCAGCTACCGCCTTGAACTCTGCACCATCGTTGATGGAACACTGAGGGGAAAGAGATGCTTCAGATATGAGGAGCTTAATGGAAATCAGCTGTGAGAAAGCAAAGATTTTGCTAGCGCGCGGGAACAGATAGGTACTTCGCTATTTTTCAGATAATAGACACTGTCATGAGATTTCTCAACTTATTCTAATGCCGTACTGTGTGCTTGTACGCTGAACCCCACGGACACACAGGTGTACTAGCTGCAATGAGACACAGAAATCCATCACAGCGCAATCCCGTAGTTCAGTACTTTCCCAGTGGAATTTATTGTGACAGAGTAGAAGCAATTCATTAAAAAATCAGAACAGTCACAAGACCCTCTGAGTAGAAGCTGCAGAGCACCAGCAGCAAATTTCTGGTCACCATCTTTCTCAAGATGAGCCTCTGGCCCCCTCCTTCCTGATCACCTGGGTTTGTTTTCACTGCAGGTTTCTAGAGGAACTGATAAAGGCAGCTGAGGAGGTCTGTGGGTTTGTTTGCATCTCAAGAAAGTGATCAGGAAACTGGGGAGCCCTTCGTCTGGACCCTGCTTCAGAGGGACAACACTAGGGACCACTTCAGGCTGATTTAAAATGTTCAGGATCTTGTTGTTCTAAAAACCTGATGAGTTTGTTCCCTTCTTTCCTGCTCAGAGGCCTCCCTGAGGATAAGTCATATGAAGAATGAATGCTTCAGTAATGTAAAAGACTCTGTATGGCTTTTTGGTCCAGCAAGCAGCTTCAGTCACCCATTGCGAAGCACGAATTGCCTGTCCCTGGTAACAGGTCAAACATCCATGCCTGCATTTATTAACACAGGTGATGTCGCTTCCACTACATTTGATTGTTTTCTATAAGCAGGCACAAATGTAGTGTAGGCACAAGTACACACATGCTTGTCTTCTAGGGCCAGAAACTCCATCACAAATAGCACACTGGTGTCACCTTTCCATATTTATCCCATAAATACTGGTCTCAGCTTCTGCTAGCTCGGCAGTACTTTGAGTATTTCAAGAAGGTTTTACAGTTTTCAGACAAGTTACCTCTGACTCACTACCAACACCCTCACCTTTATCTGTGCCCCTGGACAGATGTAGCTGTATGCAGACGCGTCCTTCTGGAGATGTAGAGAACGTAACATCTGGTCAGACCCCCCCTGGAGGAGCTGTACAAAGAGTATTTTAAGAAATGGTGAATAAAAAAAAATAAAAGTCTTTTTCTGTTTCTTATTCATCTGCCTGACAGGCAAAATCATAAAAACACAATAAATTGCTGCTACAGAGGAATCAGCTACAGTATCTGGAGTCACAAGCACAACATCTGCAAAACCCATGGGCTGCATGGTTGCAGGGCTCTGACCACCAGCAAGAGGTTGCCTAGATGACTGTCCCTTCGAGTGACACAACCATTTAGGAAACAAGCCTGAACCCCTCCACAGAGCTGACATGTTTACATCCGTGACATGCCACAGGTGTGCCTTGGCAAGCACATTTCAATCTGCCGACACGCTCCTGAGAAAGGTGCTAACACGCCATCACGGAGTACTGACTAAATGGTAAAAAACAAACAAACAAACAAACAAACACACATTTCCCTCACTGCAAAACTGAGAATAAAGGTTTCACTAACAGGGCAACCGTTTCCCCCAAAGGACACACAAAGAAGCCACCACACAATATGGAAGACATTAAAAAGACACACACACACCCGCCCCAAAGTCAAGTTGGTGTCGTAAAATCACTTCCATATGGACTAAAGGCCTCAAGAGAAAATAAAGGGATTAGACTCACTACAAATAAAACAGTGAGTCAAAGTCCAATATTCTACCATATTTGTTTAGTTAGCCTCCTCTGAAGTTTACAAATGTGTTAATATGGGATTGGAGGATAAGGGAAAAAAAAAAATCTTCCCATGCTCCTTCCCCAGACCAGGCCTCTTCAAAGAGCTCAAGAACCTAAGATCACCCAAGATGCAACAACACAGGAACCCTTCGCAAAACACGCAAGAGGGCGAAAGCTTTAAATATTTGGTCTATCATGTCTGGGAAACTTGAGAAAAGTCATTTGTTTCAGCAATCCACTACAAACCTGGTAAAAAGAATGAAAGCTTCGTTCTCCTGGCTGCTGCACAATCACGCGAGACTGGGGGGAAACAAAATACAACAGTGGGTTTTTCTGCGTGTGGACAGCCTGCTTCCCCAACACCTCCCCTTAGACACTGATGCATCGGTTCACCACTGCTAGGACACCTCCAAACTCATCTTATCTTACAACAAGTCTGTTACAAACACTATTAGCTGGGCATGACCGTGGAGTTTGAAGTCTATAATGAAAAAGAGCAGCTTGTGTAAGAGCTGCAATGTCCTACTTCCAACCAGCAATCCCATGTAGCAGCTTCAGAATTGTTTTCATGGAAGAGTCAAATAAAACGACATTTTAGTTTGAGAGTTATTTAATTGCTGGAAATAAAGAACAGGATTCTGACTACAAACAAACGCCATAATTAGGGCCTTATGGTAACCACTCCGACAGCCCCAGCAGAGGCTGACCAGCAGCACCCAGCCCTGTGCGAGTGAACGCTCGGCTCTAACACGAGGGCTTTGTTTTAGGGAGCAAGCAACAGCAACATCTTCACAGCATTCATTCCAAATCAGTGGTAAACAGCACCAAAAAAAAGTTAAATGCAGAAGAAATTCAGTCAACAAGCAACGCATCCTTGTTTTATGCTCCAAGTTGGAAACATGTTCCTGCTGCAGTGCGAAGTCAGTGTCGGTCAATTGTGTGTTTGGACCCGAACCTCAACTGCTTTCAACATGGAAACAAATTTAACTTGGTGGAAGTCACGAATACAGAATCAGAGAATCACAGGATGGTTTGGGTGGGAAGGGACCTCAAAGCCCACCCAGTGCCACCCCCTGCCGTGGGCAGGGACACCTCCCACTAGCCCAGGTTGCTCAAAGCCTCAGAGGTTTGTTTCATATATGAAATAAATGATCAGGACACTGCAGCTGCAGCCCCATCCCTTTTTTGCAGAGAAGTATCACATGTTAAATGTTTGGGTTTGTTGGTTTGGTTTGTTTTTTAAATAAAGTGTTTATTCTGAAAATAGACTACAGGGAAATAATGGGAAAAGTAAAAAACAACAAACAAAAAAGCATGTTAGCAGATGTGGGCAAACACACAAATTAAAGCCAGATGTGTTTCTCACACGAGAACTGTTAATAGATCGAGCCTGCTTTCTTGACAAGAGTTTTACATATTCCAGTGTTTTCGGCAACCACTGAAAAAGATATGCTTAGGATCACTTGGAATACATAAAAACAAAGTTATGAACAATGACACAAGGCTGCAGCATTATTCCAGAATAACACTTCTCAAGCAAACAGTCGCTACTTACAGACCTAGAGATCTTCTTTTATTCACCAGGGACATCTCAAAACAGGAACTTATAAAGAAGGAGTTTTACAGAGTTAAATCAATCAGCTTTTATTCTGGATACAAAGTTCATACACCTATATGCTCATAAACTTTTGAGTAGCACTAGCCCCTGGGAGCTCTGAAAGCAGGGGTGTTAAAGCAAGAGGGCACTGCCAGTGCTTCAGCAGCATTGCACTTACCTACAGTAATTCTGGGAGAAAAAACAAAGCCCTAGATTTAAATGAGATTCTGTGCCCTCAGACGTTAACATCCTGACATACCACATTTGAAAGGAACATTTTCCATTGGCAAAGCACATATTACAAAAGTAACGACACAAAGGCCTCTCACTCCCAAAGCCAGCACGGCTTACCTTTTCCAGTAAGTAATTATTGATGTGCCCACCTATTGGGTCTCCTTTAAAATCAAAGTTGATATCCATATATTTTCCAAACCTGCTGGAATTGTCATTACGGTTTGTTTTGGCATTGCCGAAGGCCTCTAACACACAGTTGGATTTCAGCAGAATGTTCTTCACTCTGTAGTACAGATAAATGGAAAAGAGAACAGGCTAAGTCCAGACTTGTGTACTCAAACCAGGGAATTTTTTTTTAGCAGGCATTTCTAGAGAAAATTTAATAACAGCAGAGATGCTCTTTGATGAGATATTTGGGCAGATGCGTATGACATTAGCAATCCCATGGGAAATCAGCCGGGAGCTTTCGGCAGTGTTCCTTAGAGCCGAGCAAATGGAAGCCAAAGACCAGATCTCCCCACTGAAAATAGCATCAAAAACTCAGTTCCTTTACAGATGTACATTCTGAAATCAATTCCTTGGACTCTTTTGCAAGTCATTTTCAAGATCTTTGTCAGGGTAGGTATATTAAGGCTGTTTCAGCAGAAAGTCACAGTCTTTCCCAAAAACATTTCTAAGGCTGACACATTCTGCAACACAGGGGCGTGCAAGCCTGAAAAGTCACGGCATACGCTCCTGCACTCCCCACGCTAGTCTAACGTACAGATACCTCGGGCAGTTTGCCACAGGAAACATGATTTCTAGATCATGTGTTATTTGGAAAGTGTGAACTTTCAAAATAAAGTTTTCTACATGATTTTAGCAATCAATATTGCAACATTCCCAGAGGAAAAGTAGTATCTGAAGAAGTCAGGTAAACGCTGTAAAATCAGTGTGCAGTTAGTACAAGACATGGTGCTACACAGTCCCCAGAACGAGATCCATACAGAAACCAATTTCACTTATTTCTTTGCAAAGCCCTTACCGTTCCACCTCTGCTCTCTGGCTGGGGTTGGTAATGGCCGCGATGTACTGCATAATGTACTTACTGGCCTCGGTCTTCCCCGCCCCGCTCTCACCTGAGGGCAGAAACACAGAGATGACAAAACAGATCAAAAAAAACCAAAACAAAAACCAAAGCAAATCACTGAACAGTATATCCTAATTCCACCCTGAGAGTGTTTGGATTTTTTTTTACCTTTGTTTTTAAAAAAAAAAAACCAATCTTGTTTGCGTGCAGTTTGAACCTTTTTCTAAATATAGCCATAACCCTGCCTGGCTGTTGCTGCTTTGCTGACTTGGAGGCAGTGCTGATGGAAGATTTCGCCGGTCGGGAGCAGGCCTGGCACACAGGGGATCAAAAGGAAGATTGTTAGAGCAGCAAGCCTGGCATGCAGAGGCTTGGCTAGCAGCAGTGCCGGGAACTGCAGGACAAGAGGCTACTGTTCAGCACACCATCACGGCTCTCTTGCTTTTCAGAGCTGCTGAAGCACGGGAACATCAAGGAAAGCAAGTGCCAGGATCCAGATAGCGACCGTTCATGGTACAAGCACTGCTCCCACTGTTCGGGACACGACAAGCAAGCAGGCCAGCCATCGAAACAGAGAACAAAACATCGGCCAGGCATCTCGGGGACAAAAATCAGCAGTTCTCTACAGAGAGGCAGGAGCCCTCTTCTCACTGCTCTCCATCGACTCAGAGCAAGCACGGCACTGTGTTCAAGCCACCCCTTGCACGCACAGATTAAGCTAACGACTGACACCAGCTCTTGAATTAGATACGAAATAATTGGTAAGGACTCCACAGAGAGATTCAAATGCAAATAAGCATTTTGAAGAATAATGAAGTTTTCTTTTATAAAATGCTGTCATTCTTCTTTCTCTGCTTAGAATTGCACAAAGATCAACTGTTCATCATAATGAAAAGCTCTTTCAGCTTACCTGAGATGACAATACAGGTGTCTTTTGATCGCCTCTTCATCGCTTTGTAAGCGGCGTCAGCAATTGCGAAGAGGTGTGGAGGCCGCTCGTACAATTCCCTTCCTTTGTACTGCTCAATCGTGTCACGCCCATAGATGTTCAGGTTTTTGTAAGGGTTCATGGAAACCACCACCTCCCCAATAAACGTATAAATCCGTCCTTTTTCAAACCTACCCAGGACGAGACAAAAGGGAGAAAAGGAATTAGTCAAACACGAGATTCAGAATACGTCGTCCCAGCAAGGTGCCCGCTTCATCAGGTGAACTCTTCAATCCATCGTCGTACCGAAACATCACAATAAAACACTGACTATGGACATTATCTGACCAGCGTGGCCCAGATGGCATGTTAGCGTATTATGTATGACCTGATGTTCCAAGGACTAAGAACCAGGGCTAGCTTTGAATCCTACCACCTACAAAGGAAATTTCTACTGCTATTTCACTTCCAGATGCATGACCGAGCAAATCACTGAGGTACAAACACCAACCGTATCTCTGAGTACACCAAACTGTTGCTTTGCCGATGCAGTCCAGCCGGCTTTCTGCGTATTCGGGTGTTTCTGTTGCCACTAACATGGTGCCAGAAACAAACGTTTCTATGACATTCTTTAGTGAGATTTAATATAATTTACCATTTCTACAATTGACAATAAAATGAATTTGTGATGAGTTCATACAATCTGCTTCATAAAGGGGATTTAAAGGCAAATTCTTTTTTCACGTTCTGCAGTTGTCCACAGCCCAGCTCAGGCCAGAGAAGCGGAAGTTTTGAGGCCACTCACTTAGGGGTCTAATAACATTTGCAAGAAAGTAAAGATACAAGTCAAGAACCCAACTGCAGCCTGTCAGCTCTAGCAATCAGCTTCTGCTCCATCCTTTTCGCTAGAAGGCACTTTGATATCATCACTGCTGCTAAATCAAAAGTGAAAGCTTTTTAAGAAAGTATGAAAACAACCTGCAACTATACCCCTCCTAAACCCTACCTGGTCCTTAGCATTCCTTCTGTCAACAAGACAGAAAACAATTTGAAGCTTGTTTACAAAAAAAAAGAAAAGTTTAAATTAAAAGATGTTTCCAAAGAAATCCACATTTTATCAAAAGTCATCCAGCAGAAGAGCCCATAAGGAATTTCAGATTAACACCTGAAGGATTCAGACAGCGTGTGCTTCTCAGGAGGGGAAAGGACAACACCAGATTCAGAGATCAACGTGCAAATCATGGCACTTCTACCACGAAATACCTGCCTGCGCCCTGTGTTTAAATCTTACAACATTAGATGGCACCAGAGCACCTCTCTGCAGTACAGGGCCTTCCTCATCCTGACCGACTAGAGCACAAATTCGAGCATTACTTTATTGAATTTATTACCACCCCCACGTGGTGACAGCTTTGACATTTTCTATTGTTCATTGGAGAATTTTCTGCAGCATCTTGGCAGCGTTCGTTTTTAGCAGGTGTAATAAAACTCAAGAAATACAATCTAGCAACCAGCATTCCACTTTCTACAAGCCATTTGGCCCCTAATTCCAGCTTCCTCCAGAAATACCGCACTAAAAAACCACAAGGATCGCAAAACAGCTTCTTGTTCCTGTGTTCCGTTTGGACTGAGGGCAGCCCTGATATGCATTTCCCAAAACATCAGTGAGCTTAAAATGCAAAGATATTTTATACATTAGAGAGAGATGCTGTTTGAAAGCTCCCAAGCATGTTTTAGAAACGCTAAGGCCGTTATAATCAGCAATACCAACTGCAGCTCAGCGGCTAACAACTGCAGCAAAAATGATGGGCAAGGCACAGGCAACGACACCGAGCAACTGGTACGCCCGCCTGGTACGAGATACAGACCGGCTGCCTAATTCTTACCACAGACTTAGGTACCCAGGAAGCCTCACATACACTCAGTCCTTGGCATTCGCCATCCCGAATTTTAATTCTTTGAAGCACAAAGCAGCTGGGAATCATGGTATCTGAACACAGAAGACACAGTGGGTGCAAAGAGATTGTGTAGCCAGGCTGCCCGGCTCAGGAGCGCCAGGGACTCACATATACATGGGAGAGCTTAAGAAAAACCAAACACACACAACACTCTTGCTGTTAGGGAGATCAAATCACACTGGGACATACATATGTAATGGAAACCATTTCAAGGACATCAAAATCAGCAGAGTCCTTCCCATCTTTCTGGAGCTGGGCCATTGAAAAGCCAAGCTGCCCAGCGGAGAACGTACAGACTGCTCTCCAAAAGGCGCACAACCACCACTAAAGGCACTATTAATGATAAAAATAAAGATACAGCGTTTTCTGGGGGAGGTTTTAAGCCCCACCGTAATGCCAGATGTGTGGCTGGAGGGTTCACGGTCAGCACAGAAAGTGGGTTTCTTTTAGCTGCAGAGAAAAAAAAAAAAATAAAAAGGACATCCCTAGTGAAGTGTCGTGCCAAGTCACCGCCACAGTACCCAATACTCTGACCTCTTCCTTGACTAATGAATTATGTACACTTTCAGCAGCAGAGTGCAGTTTAAGTTTCCTCCCCTGACAGTTCAGTGTCCCCGACTGCCTGGTAAGCAGAACGGACAGATTTCCCCCGGCCAGCCTGCCCCACCGCCGGCGGTTCAGGGCTCCCCGCTGCGGAGGAGCCCCTCGACCGGGGCACGGCTCAGCCGCAGAGGGGTTGGAGCTGGGACACTTCGACACACGCAGCAGCCTGACACACTGCCTGCTCGCCTCCCCGACAGCTCCGGGCTTAGACGACAGAACTCACGTTTGGCCTCGAAGTCGAGTTTTAAAGGGTTTTCCTAGACTCTGAGGAGTTATGACATTAATCTCTGTGGCAAAAGGCAGATGGAGGTGAGGGAGAAGGATCCATCTCCAGGGTTGACAAACGGGCATCTCACACTTCACTTAAACGATACTGAGTTCATGAACAAGTGATGTTCCCATTTACCCCTCTGTTCATTTTTCTTTACTTCTCAGCAACGGAGCTAAAATTCCAGAGCTGTGCCTAGATGTTCCTAAAAGGAGCCGTGGCTCCTCACCCCTCCTCGCCGATAAAGCCTCTTTTCATCAGACAGCGCAGCCCAGCGCAGCGGCAGGCCAAGAACAGCAGCGGCTGTTTTCCTAGCTGCATTGCTTCGGTGTGAGATTCTCAGTTTGCCTTGCCCAAGCAGAACTCATGAAAGCTTAAGAAAACAACCAACGACGGCAGTCCAAACGGGGAGGTACAAGTTGTGTTCAATTTGCTATTCCTCAGCGAGGCAAGGTCACCACACCAGACGATGAAGTTTTTTCGGAAAGGCTCGTCAATCGGGGCACTGCACTTCATCAAGGGAAAGCTCATGAACGGAAAGGACGGTGTCATCATTTCAGTACCAAGCGTGTAACTCCTAGGAGTGGATTTCTGTTATTAAAAGCAATCTACAGCACACTGGATAAAAGGAAGCCCTGTACCTGCTCCTGGCGTCAAACCTCGGTTGATACGTGTCATGAAAATCACATCACCTTGTGCTGCAACTTGGAGGAGAAAAGATTCCCCCATAATGATGCTATTTGAATAATTTCTGTATCACTATCTCCTGAATTTTCCTCTGGCATCTGCAATCTAGTTCAGCAGCCAAAAAGAAAGTCACAGTATGTAATCCTTGTGTGTTACTTTGATGAAGAACATCAGCTCTCTCATGAGAAGTTTTTGTACTAGTTTTTATTCCCTTGTTAAAACATGGATTGATAGGGAGAAAACATAAACCGTAGGTCACAGAATATAAATCACTGAAAGGGATATAAAGTATTGCCTAGGAAAGAAAACTGCCAAGGAAAGAAAAAGGCTCTTACTTTGTTTTGTAGTTTTTATTTTTAGGGAGTTGAAAAAAAATTTATCCTTAAGTACAGACAACCTACGTTCACATCCCATCACCGCTGGGAAATACACCGCAGAAATCAGAAAGCTGAGGCAGAAATCCTCGCCACCAGAGAGCACTCACATTTAGGATTTCTCCCACCTGACAAACACTCCACTCAAAAATAAAACTGCTCTTACCGAGGAAATGATGCAACTTCAAATGCACTCAGTACAAATAAAGAAAAGAGTTAGTTGGCAAGACTTGGAACCCACACTCCAAAACAACATCTGCAGAACGCAGACCGTTGAACAGAGGCACCCTACCACGCAATCGCCACTCCAGATGCTGCAGTTCAAATCATAGAGAGAACTTCTAATTAATCATTTACATGGTAACTCCTCTGCACCGAAAGATAAACAGGCACTTGCCGGGATCACAGACAGCAGGCAGCACTCTGCAGGCTTGCTGCTATTTCCAGAATTCAGCACGGTTTCGGAGATAACCCGTGCCAGCTCCCAGGATGGTTTGCAGTGAGATCACAGGCTGGGCTTTGCCGGGGTGTGAAGCGGCTCCTCAGAAACACACTTTGCCAGTCTTTCCCTCCATCTGTCTAATATCTGAGGAGCGGAGCAACTGCTGGAAAAATCACGTCAAGTCACCAGTCATCTCATTTTCTGTTACTTCAAGAGAGCTGAAGTGTAGTTATTGATATTATGGATCATTTTCCCCCAGAAAAAGATCTCCTCCCCTCTGGAACTGCTCCTTTCTCACCACTGAGCACAGACTGACATCCTACTCTGCTTTCCATACCTGCAGACGCACTAAAGCTTTCCCACGTTAGCAGGTGCTCCGTAAACCTTCTCGGTCTCACCCCTTCCTGCTCCCTGATGCTACACAGATGCTCCAGAAACACAACAAGATGGACTTTCAGTTTAACTGTACAGCAGTGGCCTAAAGTAAAGGAAATGTTAACGAAAAAGCAAAAGCAAACAATCCAGGACAGATAGAGTGATAGAGATGCACCAGCCTGTGCTAGATTGTCAACGGCTAACCTAGTACCGCTGAAGGTTAAAAGAATAAAAGCTGATGGTTCCAAATTATCATCTATTTCTAACTTATTCATTAACTCCAAAGCCCAAACAAACTGAAGATTTTCTTCCTTCCACCTCTGTGCATAGGAAGAAGAATGAAGTAGCAGCTGCACACCTCTCTGGCATGCTGAAGAGGGACAACTCTTCTTCCTGTTGCAAACACTTTGTGTGGTTTGGGTTATTCCCCCCAAAGGGAGTCATAGGCCTTAGTTATTTTTTACCACCAAAGATACACATTAAAAATCCATTACTGCAGGCTCTGACTCCATTCTCACTGCAAACATGCATGAAAACATTAATTAAAACTCATGTTCATGAAGAGACGTTCATCGATAGTCAAGGATGGGCCTTTAGGATGTTCTCACTAAGGAAGGGGATTCATTTAAGCAGACTTCTGGCAGTGAAATCCCATTTCCCTGTTTTTAAATGCAAGCAGGTATAGCCAGCAGCACTGACATAAAGAACAATTCTCCTCGTGCTTTGGGAAGCGAGATGACTTTGCTTAAGCACGCTTCACCCTGCGTGTGTCAGACAGCTGTGCCCTTTGCATGTGATACCAGGTCTCTCTTCTGAGTACTCAGTGCTACTTGAAGCCTTTAACTTAGGTAAATCTCAAAATAAACTCAGCTGTCAAGCAGGGAAGAATGACTTTCGAGTCCTTCAGTAAATTGCTGATAAACTGTATTGTAGCAGATCATCCTCATCACAAGAGAGCTCAGATAAACACCATTTGTGTTGGCAGAACTGTCGCTAAAATATTCCCGCTGCACTTGGAAAAACAGACCAAAAAAACTGTCCAGTCAGTGTTACCTCCCTGCGCTAGGAAAACAATCCAAGTCTGTCACAATTCCGAATAAGCACATCTGCAACGTTTTGATCCATCCCAAGCACTAGAAAAATCAGAATTTAAGTTCATCTAATGTGCAGGCAATATTTTTGCTTGCAGTTGTCCTGCATGGCTTCAGTTTTCAGATGTTGCCAGTTTAACAACATAGGAAATGCCATTCAGCGCGCGTTCTGCACCACTCCTTTCCTGTACGGAGGGAGCAGAAAGGGCAGGGTGAGGAATAATTCATTCATCTGCAATTTTCACAGTCAGCTTTGGAAATAAAGTTAAAGGAGTCCTTTGTAATGATGTCAATTTTTTCAAAAGAAAATAGTAAACTATGAGTGACTGGTGCCACATCTTCCCCAACAAACCAACCTTTAAGCAAAGCGACTGTAATTTGACAAGGCTGATTCAGCTCCAGCACAGCTGACCCTTGAGTCATCTCTGCACTAGGTACAGTCGGGGGAAAGGAAAATGGAAGATGGGTGCTAAGGCAGCTCTAATGAACGCTGAGTAAAGGCTAAAGCTGTGAAACGGAGCTAGCTAGAAATGGGAACTGGGAATAATTCTAAAATCCCTCTCCTTAAACACGAAGTGCTAACCTTGCACAGAAAAAATGCCAAACCACTAAACATAGGAGTCACTGACCTTTCCTTGCTATTTGCGTCAGCCAGCCCGAGCCGTCTCTCCTACAGCAGGGGAGCTCTGCATGCTCTTTTTACTTTTCTAGAAGCGTAGCAGAAGGCACAAGCAGACTGGAAATAGATAATGAGACAAAAGGAAGTTCTTTGAAAAGTTTCCAGGGACAACATAGCGCTTCGTGGTTTTATTCCAACCAAGCGAATTCCAACTCGAAAAAGTTGCTGTTGAGCACAGGTAGAGGAAAGAAGCTTGCTCCTGATTTCTCTGCGTAGAGCAGTAAAACACACTCCCACTTCCCATGGGAAAAGTCTGGCTGGAAACTGTAAAATCCTAATGCAGAAATCATACTCTGCTTTGAGCAGGAGGAGGTTGCCCTAACTGACCTCCTGAGACTGAACTATCCCATGATCCTATATCTAACCAGGAAAGAGCAGAACACGCTTGGGATAGCAACAAGAGATTGCCATCTACCCACTATCTCTAACTTTTTAATCTCTCAAATATAAGCACATAATCTATAAAAGGATAAATAAAGAAAGAGAACGCTCACAAGTCAGATAGGTTCTTCTATGTGCTCCCATCACACGTGAAGCCAAGTGCAGCACATGTGCAGAAGAGCCTAGAGCTTGTCACCTAAGAGAACGAACTTAAATGCATGAGAACCATAAAACTAGTGGGGAGGAAGAAAAGGTGGCAGTAATCACTCTATAAACACATCAGTAGATGAATATCATCTTGTCAGGTAGCCAGAACAACTACTTAAACAAAAAACCACACAGGCCCATACAAAAGAAAAATGGGAATGGACTTAACCCTGGCCAACACAGCCCTGAAACTGAAATCTCGCTGCCAAGGGAGCAGTCCTGGAAGAGCATTTGAACGGAGTCTGCAAGGGGCAGTGAGCCCTGCGGGGTACTGCCGAACTTCTTTGATGGATGTGTTTAGAAGATTTGGCTTCCTGCACTGACCAGCAACCGACTTCATGATCCATTATATTCCTTCCACTCTGATGTTACAGCATTCAGGAACTTTTAAAAATACACTTTACCTTCATTGCCCACCTCCTCTTTCCACGCCTTGTGTCCGTATTAACTGTAACCTGCCACACCATGACCACCTCAGCCTTCAGTCGGGGGAATTCAGCTTTGTTCATCAGATCATACACCTCTGTCTTAAAGGGTACGCTGTCTTGAAATCTCTCAATGGACAAAATCCCAGCACAAAAGGCTACAACCAGACTAAGGACTGGAGGCTGGACAGATCTGCACCATGCAGAAGATACCATCCGATTTCATCGCCCTGGTTCAGTGGTGCATGAATTTTGCAGCCGTAGGTTTATCCGAATGGTGTCCAGGCAAGGACTAGTTTATACTTCTGAATAACAACCTTTCTTTCAAGGGATGCTGAAGGAACTATGAAATCCTGCAACCCAACAGAAAGGTCAGGAAAGATGTGGAAAAACAAAGCCCATAACTGACACCCTGTTACTTCCTCTTAACTTCTCCAGTAACTTCAGGAAAGAAAATCCATTCACATCGCTGCTGGTGACCCTGATACAGCAGCATCCTCGTATAAACAAACATGACCTGAAGCCACCTCAGCATCTGATGGTGACTTTCAACCTTATTTTCTAAGCCATCTCTTTCTCACACATCTGTGGCGTGCTATACCACCTTCCTGGTGTTCTGTACCTGCTGCACAACTAACAGAGCTTTGGACTGATGTCTGA